CAAAATGTCTTGGATTTAGTAGCTAAAGTGATAGGAAAGGCCAAATTTGAGATTGATTATTTAATATCAAATAAAAGTTCTTCTTTTATTGCCATGAGAAGAAATATTGACGCAACTCAGCTCCTAATTTTGCTGAGAAATCAACACTACGAAGTAGATTGGTCTGATGTTTATCACGAATACAATTACTTTTGCACGGAATCACAAAACATGTCTCAAAATATAGTTATTGCTACTAATGCTAATTTTTCTCAATCACACAATAGCAGATTTCATCCATACAGGAGAACAACAAGAGTTCCTGAGCATTATGATCATCGTCAACATCGTGAATACCGAGACCATCGTGAACAGTCAGCTATACAAGCTATTAAGAATTTGGAAAGTCAGTTATTACAGACAAACAACAGACTTAATAATTTGATGACTGAAAGAGAGACAAGTCTTGCATTAAGAAATTCATCAATCTATAATAATAACGATGTACGTCAACAACAATTAACACCTCAAATTCGGCAATTACCAAATCTAGATCAAATGAATAATGTCAATCCTTATAACGTATCAAGTGGAAATACTTTACAATCTTTTCCTATGATACAAATAAGTCAACCTGCACAACGAATTTCATCTTTTCCTGCAAATTTCAATCCAGTCGTTGCAAATAATCTATCTTCAAACATTCCATGTTATTATTATTATCCTTTTAATGTTTAAAATTTTATTTTTATTGTGTAAAGAATTTCGTTTGGCTGGGTGTGTCGAAAAAATTTTCGTTATAAAATTTTGAACTACATTTACATATCAAAATACACTTTAAAGTGGTTAAATTTGAACCAAATAAGTTCGTTAAAATTGAAATCCAAACCAACTGTCATTTTAGAATTTGAATTTTCTGATCCGTAAAAAATTTTGATTAAAGTTTGAATTCAGAAAGAGTCGTTAGAAAATTTCGATTTAATTTTAATAATTTTATGGCATGTAGCATTCAATGAATTATATATTTATTGAGAAAATAATATTTTTCTCATATTTAATGTTATTAATAACATTTTATTAAATTTGAAAGCTCAATGAGCAAATTATTGGATCCTGAGTGATATTGGATCAGATCAGAAAATTTTGTGAAAGTCCACACAATCAAAATTTTATTAAATCGTGTTTTAAAATAATTAAAAAAGAAATTATGCTAAATAGCACTTGCTGAAAGATAAGAAAGTAAGTTAAGAATGAAAAATTAAGGAATTGAAATGTTTAGAGGTAAAATTAAATATAATTTTCTTAGGTTTATTGAACCTTCCACCACCTTCCATCACGTGCGGGAATTTAAGCACATAATAATTAATTCAAAGTGATTTCTGAAGCTGTAAAGGCTTTAAATATAAAGTTGGAGAATTTGGAGTGAAATTTTGAGATAAAAGATAATTGAAGACACATCCAGAGCAGCTTATTTTTTTAAATAAAGTATAAAGAAATAATTCATCGTGTTTCAACTGGATCTAGCTAAGTTTCTTCACAGGTTCAATATCGATAAAGTCAGTAAGTGTTTCTTATATTGTTTCATGTCTAAATTAAGATAAAAGTTGGATAAATGCGTCTTAAAAGAATTATTCATAGTCATGCATAACCTTGAGAAAATAATTTTCTAGATAAAATGGTTTCTTTTAAATTTTAAAATATTTAATTATATACAAATTTTTAACAATGTTGATGAACAGGTGAAAATCTCATAAAGAAATAATTCTCTATAATGTAATTGCAGCTGAAAGCTATGAGAGATGGCATTTAATTAAATCACAGAATTTAATTGAAAAATCAGATGTAGAATGTGAATTATTGCTGGTTTGTGAGGCACTTGAGAATTTGATGTTGTAGCGCTTTGAATATCTGGTTTTAAGGGTAGTGCCTCGTTATTTTGTGATTTTTGAGGATGAAAATATTGTGAATCCGACGGAAAATTGTATTTTTCAAACTCTAGGCTTCAATAAAATTGCCATACAATTGCTATCCCTATTTGAGGTCGGCCACTAGACAAAACAAGACCAATTCAACCTTAACATGTACAAAAATTACCTTGCAGCACTTCAAAAAGACAAAATATCTCATTTTATTCCTACATCAATCTCAACAGCAATGCATTTCTTCAGTGGGAGGCTGTGTAGCAGCAACAGCATCAACAAAAGAGAAATTTTGAGTCTCGTGCATCGTTCTGCCTCACTTGATTGTTTCCGTAAAAGTGCTACGCTACGCACAAGTGCTCCTTACGACATAATTAATTTATTGTATTGGATATTTATTGTTTCGAGCCACAACGGCGGTTGTTTCTCTGTTGATGATTATTTTTAACAACTTGTTACCAATTTTTTTCTCTCATTTCATTTTTTCGGTGAACGCATTTCATTTCAAAGATTAATGAGGTGAACCCAAGGCAAGTGGAAATGAATGATGAGGATCATGATGAATAGGGGGAGAAAAAGAGACAAGAAAAAAAATTAATTAATTTATTCGATAATGAATTTTCCTTAAAGAAAATAACTATCTAGTTTCCGCAGACACATCCCCGTGCGTAGTTCATCGTGCCTTATTTAAGAACACAAATTGACCTCATAAATTACTGCGCTTGACACTCAAACATCAAATAACTGAGGATCATCAAAAATCCATTTGGAAGAATTTGTCATAAATTTTTTCTTGTCTTTCCATCTTTGTCACACATTCATTTCATACATCATCAAGTTTTCAGTCTTTGATTCATTTACTTTCGCAATTGAAAGTGTAAATTGTATGTCATATGCAAGTCAATTGGCATGTGGTCGACATGTGAAACAACAAGAGATGTACAATTAATTTTATTAATTAAGGGAAGAAGAAAGTAAAGATGGAAGTAGAATAGCCATGGAGAAACACTAAGAAGTTTCAGTTCCCTGACTTATTGATTGTTCAATCTCGAAGAACCAAATTGAAGTAGAATCAGAAAGAAAAAGTATGAAAGGCACTTAAGTGATGACTCTTAAATAGTTTGGATGATTCTCAATGGACACTGAATAAGTCAGTGATCATTGGTGATCAAAGATAATAAGCTTGTGATTGGATGAAAGAAATTAATTTCAATTCCAATGTCCATTTAATAAACTTTTCTTTTACTTAAAAGAAAACCAAATTTTTTCAATTCTGTGTTAAGCAACAACCAGCCCTTACCACCCAGTCACACAAAATGATCGCATCACTCTTTCTTCTTTTAATAAAAAGCCACGGCTGCTAAAATTGTTATAATGTGTGAAGTGATTAGCATTAATTTGCATAACGCAAAACAAAACAATTCTATGGAAATCTATTTCAAATTGTGTATGTAACTATGCATATAGAAATGGCCGAATGGAAATGATTCTTCAAGAATTAAAAATTATTAGCATGCAGTTAATTAAATAATGCAGAACATGTTCGATCCAAGAAATTCAACTCTCGAAACTTTAAAGTTTTGTTTGCTTCTGATCTCTGGTATGTTTAGCTGTTTGATCGAATCAGCCATCATGTGATGTATTATGTTTGAATTTCGATGACATCTGTCATATCCATGAAAAATTTGTGTCAGCTGATACAGCATTAATGCATTCATTAAGACAATGATGATAATATGCATGTAATATTTGACATTTTTATGTCTGGCTTACACAATGTTTCTGACAAGGATCTTGTGATCATTTATATAGCACTGTAATATTGTAAGCATTAAATGATCTCAGGACATATATTGAACAAACTGTAAGAAATTATTAATTTTTTTTTAATATTAGAACAAAAATGAAATCTACAGAAAGATTCAAGATATTGGTTGATGCCATAAGACTTAATCTGCTCTAGCTCCACAAACATTATATTCAAGAATCTGCCAAAAACAACAAATCTGCAATCTGAAGCATCGGAAAAACTTCAAAAGAATCAAAAAATTCCCAAAAATATCTTCAGCGATCGCTTCACAAAAAATTTCTAACCCCCTTTCTAAGAAACTCTTTCGTCTTCTTGTTCTTGTTCACCATCAAAATATGTCTAAATAAAATCAAAATTAATGTTATTATTTAATTTCCTCTTTCCCTAAAATTTTCGACAATAAAAAAGAATTTCGTCTAATTTTTTTATATTCCAAAAATATGAACAAATTAACAATTAAAGCATTTGCCGTAAAGCAAACGATATATGTGTTTTTGTTGTTGTACAGATATATGCATATGTACATAATTAAAATGAAGAAAAAAAGAGAGATATTAAGAATAAATTTTCATGCATATGTTTGAACATGATTTTGAATGTCTGACGATGTGTTTTCTTCATAAAGCAATTTGTAATACGACAACGCTTCTCATTAATTTTTCGCAAAGTTTCAAACGATTTTATTTTCTGAAGCGGGTATTTTAAAGGGAAATGGGGAAGTTTATCTTTCAGTATGTCAGTTTTAGGTCAGATTTTTATGAATTCATTATTCATTGATGATTTTTTAGATGATTCAAATTAATATAAATTTTGATGCTAGTAAGTTTGTTGGTATTCTTTAAAATGTTGCTAAGTTGATCCACTACGTCAGTGTCAGTTCCTTAAAAAATCTCCAGATATAGTCTTGTGCAGTTCATATTCTTCTAAGATTCTCAAGAAGCTAGATAACTTTAAAAGATTGAAGACTTTCAACATCCGAGGTCTGTTTTCAAGAGGATTTGCTTAAAATGATTCACATTTAGTTCTTGTGTATGGAACATCCACACCTCCTCAAAATGCGCCATTTTCTATCAAGCAAACTTCTTTCCTGCTAATAATTTATCCACTTTCTTGACTAACGAGAAAATCTCTTTATTTTATATTTTTTTGTTGCCTATAAAAATGCAGCAAAATGTCTTTCCTGATGTTGGTGTTGATGTATTCATGCGAAATTCATTGTAAAACAAGTTATTTAATGGAATATTTCATGAATTCTCTTTTAATGTCTTTTTTTTCTCTTCTTTTTATTGCAGTAACAGATAATCACGTTCAGCAATATGGCGAAGTCAATCAACTAGGAGGAGTTTTTGTGAATGTAAATAAATTTATGCTTGTTGCTTACATGAAAAAAGGTTCTTATTTTATTGTATTTTCTATTTAATTGTTTATAATCAGGGTCGACCATTGCCAAATGGAACAAGAATGAGAATTGTAGAGCTAGCACGGTTAGGCATTCGACCGTGTGATATTTCTAGACAATTACGTGTCTCACATGGATGTGTTTCAAAAATTTTAGCTAGATATCATGAAACAGGTAATTATGCCTTCAAATTGCAAGTAATTTTATGGTCTGGTTGTGACCAGATATTTGCTGTAAAATGCTTATGTTTGTGATGTGTGATTTTAATTAAAATGTGATAAATTACAGGATCTATTTTACCTGGTGCCATTGGGGGATCAAAGCCACGTGTAACAACACCAAAAGTTGTGAACTACATCCGAGAACTGAAGATGAAAGATCCAGGTAGGTTTTTAATCATAAATTATATGAAATATCTCTAAATATTAAATGATTTTATACAGGCATTTTCGCATGGGAGATAAGAGACCGGCTACTAGCAGATGGCGTTTGTGATAAAAATAATGTTCCTAGTGTGAGCTCAATATCTAGAATATTAAGAAACAAGGTGACAAATCACCATCACCATCACAATCCACAAATGACACATGCTCATACGCATCCACATTTATATAATTCAATATATCCAACATATCCATACGCAACACCGCCATCAATTAAAAGTGAAAATTCGCCAAACACATCGTCATCGTGTGGCAGTCCATCACCACCAAATAATTTATTATCGCGAAATTGTCATCACTGGGCTCCATTATCACATCCAGCAGCTATTACACACTCTGTGAATGATATTTTAAGTTTCAATCAAAAATACGGACAGCCACAAACATCACCGCAATTAGCAACTTCATCACCAATGATGAATTCACATGATACGTCACAAAACTCTCATACACAAAATTATAATTATTATATGTACTTTCAAAACACTGCCATGCATGGTGGCAGCAATGGAATCCCAACCGGTGCAAATTTATAAAATTAAAATTTATGTTTAGAATTTTTTTCCCTTCTCCTTCGTCATTTAAATTTACTGTTTCTCTTGTGATAAACATTTCTAAGAATTTTTCTCACTTCTCCATTTTTCCACAAACTTTTATAACCGTGAATTATTGTTGCTTTATGAACTATAAAGTATATTTTGTGCTGTGCTTGTGTTTTTGGCGCATTTTGAAGGTTGATGATGCGATGATCAGTTGAACGAGTAGTCTTGAATTATCATAGGGATCTCCTTAAAGAGGAATGGAATCACAATCTAGAAAACTGCGCCTTAAAGAACTTCAACATGATAAATTCTTTACACGCAATAACAAAGCATTGAACTATATATATATATATAGCTTAACTCTTAATAACGAACGTGAAATGTGTCAACTAACAAGAAAAATGAGAGAATTTGTTGTGCTTAAATTTGCATCTCAAAACGAATTTTATGGAATTGTGTACATTGGGAATTTTTCCGAGAAAATAAAGGTTTTAATCTATGAAATTTAATAGAAAATTGTTAAGAGATTTAAGTATGGTTCATTGTAAAATTGAGAATTATCATGGTTGAAATATTAAGATCAGCAACAAGTTCCTCTCATTTTTCCAATAAAATTTTCAAAAATAAGAAAAATTCTTACAGACAAAAAAAGAGTTTTTTCTAGTCTTTTGTGCCTTTTTTTACGTGCCTCTTACATTATTTAAGATTTTAAAAAAATAATTCTAATAATAATTTTACTAAATTGTATAATATTAATAAATTTTAAACATGTTTATAAAAAATATTTTGTAGTTTTGTAAGTATAAAGGAAATCATCACGAAACAAAAGACATTAGTCGTCATTGTCAATAATTTCGGTGCAAAGTCTCAATAATAATTATAATTTGAAAATGTGTAATTTTATCGATTTTTTTCATGTTAATATGTTAATCTCATTCTCTTTTTATTGTACCTATATAGCAAGTGAAAGTAAATAAGGAAATAAAATTGATGTTAAGATAATTAATTTATTGGAAATAGACTTTTAATTTGGGATAGGAACTATTGCTTGAATGATGTTTTTGGTATAATTCTCTGCAAAAGCTACTTCATGGCTTCTTTTAGATGCAAGGGCGTGGAACTGAAGAATTACATTTTGATCATTTTTAATCAGTTTTGATAATTTTTTGATCATTTTCGATCAATTTTGATCAGTTTTGATCATTTTTAATCATTTTTTTGATCATTTTTTGATCAGTTTTTTGATCAATTTCGATCATTTTTGATCATTTCATCAGTGCCACACCTTTGCTTAGATGCCGTCTGAAGCTGGCTTTATCGCTGGCTGCCGCTTAAAAATTTCCTTTACCAAATGCAATACTGTCTCTATTAACAGCCTCTTTCTATGAGTTCTTTGGTCTTCCACGTGCTCTTTTTCCATCCACAAAGTCAGAGTCAAAGACCTTACTTAATGGAGTTTCCACAGGTCTCCTCATATCATGTCCAGCCCATCGGAGCCTGTTTATTTTAATACGTTTAATGATATCAGCTTATAAAATCTCAGATTATAATCCTGTTTATATCATCAACAAATCAAGTGCCTTCAAAATCATGCGGCAGATTAACAATTCCAGCTTATCATTATCAAATTTTATCATTTGGCAATCAAAGTTGACAATTTTGATAAAAGAGACGCAAGCTTCAAATACCAACGACTCGTAATAATGCTGATAAAGTCGAAATATGAAGCAATTGAAAGCTCTTATCAGTGAATAAACTTCTGATTTTTTTCATACAAAATTTGACATTTTCAACACGATAAGGTATGAGAAAATGATGTTTTGATGACAATGGAACTGCGCACGGTCAAAAAACAAACTAAAATGCAGAACTAAAACTTAAATAAGATTCATTTTCCACTTGAAATTCTTTGACATTTTCATGCTTAATTCCTTCCTCCTCAAAGCAAATTCCACAATATTTTTTTTTCATCTCAGTTACAGGCAAGAAACATAAATTAGGTAGTGCATCAATTTTCAAGAAGAAAAAAGATTACAACCCACTTCCTTAATGACACTCTTTTAAATATGCACAAGATCTATTTTTTTCATGTAGCAAAAAAAAAACTTAAGAAAACATTTTCAGAGCTGAATTTCGATGACAGTAGCACATGGATGAGTGTTTCTTATGTTCCTTAAATGTGCGAACGGTCGCTGTGAAATTTGAGATTTTTTTTTTGCTTTTCTTGTTCTTGAAAGAATTTTGGGACATACCACACACAGAAGTCAATGAGATAAATGATGAAATTAAATATCTTGGTATCACTTTTAAGTGTCCTTTCTTTGTAATCTGTTCTTGATTAGCTTGGGCCTTAAATCGCAAAAAAATGGCTTTTGTTGATTCCGACTGAATTTGAAGAAAGTGTAAAAAATTTTTGGGTATGAAAACTTTTTGTTCTTTATTAATAATTTAAGAATTATTTATATCCATGAAGTTACAGTTACTTGAAAATATCCAGAACATTTTGAGTTTTAGATTTTTTTCTCCTTTTGGAAATCGTGAACTTCACTCTTGGCTGTGAGACATTTCTTGCTTACTTATTACATCGCTGAACAGTTTCTAAAATAAATTTAAATATGACTTGCTGACAATTTGGCTAGTTAATGTTAATATCAGTCAATATTTGGACCCTATGTCTGTTGGGGTTTGTTAGCTTGATAATTATGACTTATGCTAATTAATATCAAATTTTACTGGCACAAAACTATTGAAATTTTAATAGCAGCATTCCCCACCGTCACCACATGCATCCTTTTTCATCCATGCAAAGAAAAAGTGTCCAGCAGCAGCTCCGACACAAATGCTAATAATAAGGTTCATATTTGCAGCCATGACTATCATCATAAGCATGTAGGAGACGAAAATTTGAATGCCATGAAGAACAGTTTGTAGAGCGTGTTGCAGGTTGAATAGGTCTTGCTGTAATTATGCAAAAAATAGATCATGTACCCTGGTTCTATCTGATTTCTTGTCAATAGAAACTTACTTTATAATTTTTCGTTCCATCATTTCTAGCTAAAGGAGCATCAGACTGTCTTAATTTATCTGCACGTGCTTTTTGTGCTTTATAAAGCAAGTGTTCTCGATAGAATTTTAATCCCTCATAAGCCACGGTTATGATGCATATTATAATAGCAGCGAATACAAATTTTCCTACACAACACATCTATTATTTAGCATTTCGACAGTTTCTCTTCATTCACTTCTTACCTGTAGTGTCTGCTTTCCATGATTTCACTAAAATCCATTCACAAGTACCCCAGTGCAATGACATATCCATTTTTGGAATGCAAACATTTGGATCAACTGGTTTAGCTGTTGTCATATCCATTGCGAATTATGTTTTATGTGCTTTATGAACTTTTGAAAACTTTTAATTAAATAAATTGATTTTTTGAGTTTTTTTGTAAACTTTTTTTGACTTTCAGAAAATTCCGAGTGTCTTCTGATTCTTTTTAAGGATCTTTTAAGTTTTCTTTGGAGGATCTTCCAAAGTTTTTTAAGAACTTTCCAAAATTTCGGGAGAATTTTGGAAAAGTTTAAACTTTAAAATTTTCGCAATTTTAAATTACTTGTTTTTGAGGAACTTATTAAGCAATTGATTAGCTTGTTCGATACTTGTCAATTAAATGACACTTCCAACTGAACATTTTTATATAAAACTGTTGTGACACAAATACTTGTGTATAGCCTTTATCACTTATGTTTGTAGACGTTATTTCTTATGATAAGAGATTTGATAAGTGTCGTAGGTGCATCCATTCATGATGTCTACGGTTAATGATTTTATATTCCAGTTCGATGACCTTGATGATGTTCTAGTTTTTAGAAATTTGTTTATAAACTCTTTGTTGGAAATAAAATTGATTCCAACATGATCGGAAAGATTCTAATTTTACTGGGTCAAAAATAAAGGAAGAAAGATCTGCATTTCCTGAATAAACTATTAAACATAACATAGAACTTTCTTACGCTGCTAAGTAGAATCCACGATGTCAGCAAAGGAGACCATCACCAAGCTAGCATGACTTTGGCATGATGCTGGCATTGATTTAAATCTAGCACCATGCCAGAGTCAAGCCGGATTTCAGATCGATTAACTGACTTGTGTCATTCGGGTATACGACTCAAAACAAGTGAATAAAGTCTCAAAGCAATTTCCTACGGTTCAGGAATTTCAAAGTCATTAGCACGCCAACCTTACATTAGGAATCAAAACCATCATATTCTGAATCAATCAGACGATGTCTTCAAGATTTTTAAGATTTAGAGATGAGTATAAAATTCACGATTTTTGCAGCATATATGGGCAGTGTTTTATGGTCAGGAACAAGGAAATTTTAAGTTCCACATTCTTTTCATTAGATCCATCAAGTAATTAAAAATTAACATTCACATAACTTAAGAAATCATCCTCGTCGTTGTTTTTAACATTTTCTTGATCCATAATCTGTATTCCTTTATGATTAATCTTGAATTTTTCCACTTCAAAGGTTAAAGTTTTGGGTTTTTAAGTCCACATGACATAGAAACTGCCTAGAAACAATTTTCATCTTCTTTATTCCAGGAATTTATTAATTCCAAAATTTGAATTTTGCATCTATAATCCACATTGATAACCAATCACTTATCTGATGTCATTTTAACCTTGACAGACATGACGAAAAATGCATTTTAATGCAAGAGCAAAAAAAAAGAAGAAAAATTCCACCTGAAAAATAATATTTTTTTTAAAACGATAAGCTCACAAACAGAGCTAATACGCTTGTTGTTTTGATAACAGAAGTATGTTCTCATTTACTGCTTATTGAAATAATCTTGATTTTTAGTACCGTGTGGATGAAGTGCCGTGCGCAATTTTAGAGCCGTGTGCAAAAGAGTTTAAAGAGTTTTTACACGGATGGAGAAATTAATGCGATTTTCGCAGGTATAGGAAGGGGGTTGTGAGTTGGGTGATTGGTTCATGAACTTAATTGTATAATCTGAACAACAATCACTGACTCATTAATACAGCAAATGCATTTATTGCCCACAAAGAGCATAAGGTCCAAACCAGCAGCATAATTCAACAATATATAGCTCAATAAAATCGAAACTGACTTTTAAAGGATTTTTATTACCGAACAGAACCAACAATTATTTCCACATATGAATGATTTTAAATAAAACTAGCTGTTCCTTCATGAAAACTCTTTCAAATTACAATTTCATTTTATGATTCTCAAATAAATTTGTATGTAAAGCAGAATAAGTCCATAAATCTTTGTCCACAACCTACTCAAATTTCCTACTGCATTCAACATAATTTTCTCACATATGTTTTAACGTAAATGCATAAATCATGATCTTTTCTTCCTCTCATTTTACTGACTAGCTTACTACTAACTTCAATGTAATCCTATACAACGCACTTCACATCATAATACGATCATGTACCACATGAATTAGAGTGTATGGGTATTTGTGTATATCGATAAGCATAAAGGCAACATAAGAAGTGTTTATTTACAAAACAATGCTTACAATGTATGAATCAAGCATGTTTCTTCTTCTTCTCAAATAGTGGATGTAATCGTGTAAAAAAAGGAAGAGATGAAATTCTTTTCGCCTTATTAACTTTTATGATCTATTTTCTGAACGAAAGCAAAAGTATCTCCGACTCTTTATGCTCATATACAATACACTTCATCATCATCAGCGTCATCGACAGCAGTTCTTTCAGTTTTATGGTGATCGTGGCTTGTTTGGTTCACTTTGTCCAATTCTGTTTTCAACAGGAGTTTTGCATACATTTGGGGCTATCGGCTATATAATAGAGAGAAATCTAGTAAGAGATATAAACATGCTGCTCATTTAGCTTTTTGCCATTGTAATGAATTGCATACTCAATCAATTCTGATGCGTTTCTATTAAGTACAACAAAATTGAGTTCCAAACTACTTATTTTGTATTCACTTTTATTGATCGTCGGCATTTCTGAAGCTGAGAAAGCGATGAGAAATTCCTCTTTGAAACAAAACACCAGAGAATGATAAATGTATGAATGACATAAGCATGAAATTTATGAAGTCATTTTTCTTATTCTGCAAAATAGACACAGAAAAATACATTTTGTTGTTCCTTTAAATTCCGAAACACGTTTCCTTAACTTATTTACTTTATTTCATCGGTATGAGTTTTTCGTCGTGTATCAATTTTTTGTAGATATATATTGGATACAAGGATAATAAGTAACACATATAAAGAATATATATATAATAAATGTTTTCTGTATATTTCCACTTATTAACTTATATATGCTTAATATTCAAAGAGGTCTTAAAGTTTACATTTTCTTCCATTACATATGATTAATATAATTAACGTTTAACTTATGATTTCGATGGTTCACCGCTACTGCTGCTACCTGATGATTCTCCTTTCTCAAATTCACTGCTAGAATCATCATCTGAATCGTCTGATCCTGAGCTAATGCCTTCATCAATCCACAAAGTTCCTTTAATCTTTTTGACATTCTTCTTTTGGACATTTGCATCAGGTACTTTACGTTTTAGTCCGACAGAAGACAGTATTGTTTGCTGATCAGTTTCACCTCTCGACTTTTTAAATCCTTGTTCGACGGAATCGCTGATATTTTCTAGTAGATTTGAACGTGCTGTGTCATATTCTTCATCCTTGAACTCTTTTTTTGGCTTCGCTAGTAGCTTTTCAATTTTTCTCTGGAACTTTTCATCCTTATTGTTCTCTTGTTCCTCCCTCTTTTTCTTTTCAAGCCAATTCTTTAGCCTTTTTTCTTCATTTATGTCTCTTAATCGTCGTCCACTTAAATCTCGACATGCTTCTCTGTTTGTTGTTTTCTCGATTTGAGCACCAATTGCTCGAAGCATAGACCCAAAACCACCTTTACCGCCAAATGTTTTAAGCACCAACTGGATTTCATTTGTTGATTCTGTAAGTGTATCCTGAAGTATTTTTCCATTTGATAGCAGGAAGAAATTTGATGGAGGGATGTTCTGGAAGTATTACAATAAACTTATTAAGGATAATTTTGATTATTTAATAGTGTTGTGGTTTTAATTGAATTAAGTTTTACTGGTAATTCATGAAATGTTTTAAATCGTAAACAAAACAAAAGTCGCACTTACATATTTTTCGCTAATTTCACTGTTTAATGCACCTAAAGTCTGTGCATTTGATGTGAATGATGTCGATGCTTCCTTGAACACTACGTTAACCATTTTGAAACTGATAAGATATGCCAAAATATAGTAAAATTAAGTAAAAAGAAACTTTTCAATAATAATAATATTGTAAAAACTACACACACTCATACATTCACAACTTATTCAGTTGCTCAGTTTTTAACGGTTTTATAAAATTAAAATTGAACTCGACCAGCAACTTAAATCGGCGCTTTGAAATTATGTCGGGAGTTGAGTTCTGTTTAAATTTCAAAAAATCGTTAAAATGTGAGCAACTTCATTTTATATTTGCTCAGTTTTAGTAAACAAAGACACGATTTATTGCAATTTCAGTGAATTTAATTAACTAGAGCATTATAATGGAAGAAGAAACATCATTTGAAGCACTTTTAAAGCTAAGAGATCAAGTAGGATTGAAGTCATTCAAGGAATTTGAGTCTAAAGTGTTATTTAAGAATAAATCAGAAAAATCACAAAAAAGATCCAGAAAGGAAGTAAATAATGAAGATGATGAAGCACCACTAGAGATATCGAGTAAGACACCATTTAAGAAGAGCAAAAATGCAGTAAATAGACAGTTTCAGGCACGATCAAGAGATCCAAGATTCGATAGTCGCATAGGAACATTCAATGAGGAGAAATTCCAGAAGAAGTACGACTTTGCATTCAAATTGCGTGATCAGGAACTTGAAGATCTTAAAGCTACACAAAAGAAAGAAGATAAAGATGATAAAAAGAAGAAATACTTAATCCAGCGAATAGAAAATCAAAAGCGAGAAAACTCAAAGAAATTAATTAATAAAGTAAGGAACAACAATAAAGTGGAAGTGCTAGTTGATGGAACCAAGTTTTACAAAACAAAGAAGCTTCAAAGGACAGAAGATTTAGTTAATAAATTTATTGAACTCAAAAATGCAGGACAGCTTGAAAAGCACTTGGATAAACGACGAAAGAGACAGGCTGGAAAGGAACGAAAAAAGATGAATATTGAAAAATGATTTAATTACTAAAATTTTATTGATAATTTCTAATAAAGTGCTAAGATTTCTTATTAAATTTATCCTGTTCTTAACATCTTTGCCTGTTTTTTCTCTTCCAGCTCCTTCTTTTGCTGATCAACGATGGATTTTCTTTCTTCCAGAAATTGCCCGTACTCAACTGGATCTAAATCTTTTACTACTTCAATTCCACAACATCTGGCTGAACCTATTAATAAGTTGCACATGTCTTGCATTGTCAGCAATGCATTTGGTGGATCCTGAAGTTTAATTGCTGCAATTTCAAAGATGTGCTTTAATGTCACTTTGCCTGCAATCTCACGTCCTGGATACATTGTTCCTCTCTGAATTCCAGCTGCTTGTTTTAATAAAAATGTCGCTGGTGGTGAATGAATCACAAGTTCATAAGTTCTATCAGGTTTCACCCATACCTAAAATAAAGAAAGTGAAATTTGATAGATCCAGCAGTCGTGATCCAGTAAACAAAACTTACTCTACAAGGCAAAGGTGTTCCTTCTTTTATATGCTTTGTCTTCTCATTAAAATCCTTACAAAATGCAGCAATATTGATACCTCGTTGACCTAATTGTGGTCCAAGCGGTGGAGCAGCTAGAAATAATTAATTTAATATGATATTAAAGTTTTCACGAATTTCTGATTAATTTACCAACTGCCATTTGTGCTGGAATATCTGTACGTAACTTAGACGAGTGATTGATCTTTTCTACTATCTTTTTAACATTTCTTCTCACTGCTTTCGACATTATTTGATTAATTTTACTTTAGAGAAAAATGTGCAAATCAAATGTTTATAAAATACACAGGGGGAAAACAGCTTTTAGAAAAAAAGCAATTTATGGACAGTGAAAATTGTGTAATTAATAAAAATGAAGAGGAACAAGCGACGCAAGAAAGTATCAAATCGGTGGAACCGATAGTTGAAACAAATGGACATGACGAGATAATCAAGAAATTGAAAGATGCAGAGGAGAAAGCAGCAAAACTTGAACAAACAGTAAATTCCAAAACAGATTTCATCAAATTGTTGGAACATCAAAAAATCAATTCTGAAAAAGAACTAGTTCAGGTAGCTATTATGTCTTATATGTTCTGAATAAATTAATTAAACATCACGCAATTGATTGTAGCTGAAAAAAGAACGTGAAAATGCTGTTATTCGGTACGTGACAGTTGAGAAAAGTTTACTGGATGCTAAAAATTTAGGTCAAAATTTCGAGAAGAAGGTGAAAGATCTACAACGGGAAATTGAGCTTCTCAATGGGAAAATCAAGCAGGGAGCAAGCGATAAAACGAGAATATGTGGAATCTTGGATGATAAAGTGAGTGTTTTGTGGTAATAGATAATACAATATGTTGATCCTAATCTTATCTTATATCTATAAATGATGAGCTACATATATACATTCCTTTGTTGTTCATTTTAGTGCCATGAGCTGCGGCTTAGTCAGAGGGAAATAGAGAAACTGAAATATGAGCATACGGGATTAGATACAAAATTAAAATGGCATGCACAGAAGGCACTGCAAGAGACAGAAGCTCGTATGAAGGCAGAGAAGTGGATAGATGAGCTTACAGCTGAAATAAATAAATTGAAACTTAGTGAAATTAATCGAGCCAAAGATGAATTGGAAATTGAGAGAAATATGCTGGCAGAGAAACAGCTAGTTGAAGTCAATGCCAATATGATTCTAATCAAACATGACAATGAAGAGAAAACGAGAAAAATTGAAGGACTTGAGCGGAAGTGCCATCATCTTGAGGCTGAATTAGATAGTTTAAGTTCAAAATATTCAAATTTAAATAAAGAGCACGATGAAACAATTAAGGACGTTGCATCACTCAGACAACAAAACGATGACTGTCAATGCCTTCTAGATAAGCAGACACTCAAGATTGCTGAACTGCAGTCAAATCAAAATGATCTGGAAATTATTAAGACTCAATTTTCCTTAGAAAAGGAATCAAATCGACAATTTAAGAACGAAATTAGCCTGTTGACAGCACAGATTGACGAACAAAATGAAGAAACTGAAAAATGGAAGGCAAATGAAATGGAACTGCTTCAATTGAATAAGGAACTGACAGAAACTGTTGTAAAATTAAAGAATGAATGCTCAACTAGTAATTCAAAGGCATTAACAATGAGTGTTGAGAATGAGATGATTAAAAAGGATAAAAGTTATTATGAGAACATCATCAGTGACTTAAAGAATCAATTAGACGAGGACATTAAGAAGCGTAACTCTGACTGTCAATTAATGGCAAAACATATATCTGAAAAGACAAAAACTATAGAAAATCTACAGAGAAAGGTTGAGGAACTAAGTGGCGAATTGGAAGCTCAGGGAAAGAAAAATTCACACACAGTAAAGGAACTGACAAGAGAAATATCTCAATTGACTAAAAAATTGGACTCAAACTCAAATAGAAGTGAGAAGAAAAGCCCAACACCGTCGACAGCAAGTGAGTCATCGACCGAGTCACAACATAATGAATATCCAACATTGTCATTTGAACCATCACAAAAGTCACTTATAGACCGAATTGTAAGGCTTCAAAATGAAATTGTTCGAAAAAGTGAGAAAATTGATTTTCTTGAAAATCATCAGGCACAACTAGTCGAAGAATTAAAGAAAAAGTCAAAACTTCTTCATCATTATTTATTGCGCGAACAAGCAGGTCAGTTACTTAAATCCAGAAAAGTTCCTGACACGACAAACATGACTTTTGAGCTAGCCATAGAAGTAAATAGAAAGCTTCAAAATACACTCGAGGATACGATACTTAAAAATATAACACTTAAAGAGAATTTAGATCAACTGTCGCAGGAAGTGGATCGCATGAAGAGAATTGCTGCTGCAACATCCAATAAGAAGTAATTGGTCAGAGAAACTATGTTGTTGATAAGCTTGTCATTCCGTATTTAAATGAATAAATTATTTATCTGTATATTATGTTTAAATTGTGCCTTTTTATGCTTTTAAGAATGGTTTAGTTCCTTTAGATCTACCAAGTTTGTGTGCTGGTAAAATTAACGGTTGAAAAAAATTTGAATTTCTTAAAAAAGTTGTTTACATACAAAAGTCAAGCAAAATATTGTAATTAATTGTTTTAATGCTAATTAAGGAATTTTAATTGTTTTAATGACTTAACATTGATTGATTTTCAACTGGAGTACGCAATAAGCATGGAGTCAAATCAGGAAAATACCCAGAATAATGAAAAATCAGCAACAAAGAAAATTTGTTATTGGTAAGTCAATATTTTATGCAATATTTATCTAATTTAAAGGTTTATATCTTTTTAAAACAGCGGAAAAGAGAGGAATTTAAGTATTGTAGAAGTAGCTTGTGCAAGTTGCAATCGCTTCTTTCACGAATCATGTATAGGTGAGTTAAATTATTTTTCACTGTAATTCTGATGTTAAATCCTTTGTTTTTTGCTGTCTAGGATATCAAATTGGCAAAATCCTGAGTTTTTCAATGAATTACATCTTCACCTGTAAGTTATGCTCACCAACAGGACTAGAAACTTATCGTAGAACTTCTGCGACTATTGTTCAAATGTGCATAACGGCAATAGCAAATTTACAGCGAAAAACTGAAAAGGATGGAAATCCAAAGTATTTCTTCAATAAAGACGATATTGTTACGTTCATTGACATGTATTGGGAATCTATAACTACATTGCCGAGAAAGCAAACTAATGCTTGGCATTTTAACATAATCAAAACTCTTCAATCTCATCAAAATCTGTTTGCATGTCAGGATAATGACGGCGAAGCATATTTTGGATTAATCAATAACGATTTAACAGTCATTAAGCCACAGTATGATTCAAAACTTGGACAAAAGGATGATGGTATGAGTTGATTTAAATTTATAGATATTATTGATTAATTAAATAGTTGAAACTGACTGTGTGCTTTTATTAATGCATTGCATGATAAGTGTGGTGAAAATGCTATTAAATGCTGTACCTCATTAAATACTAGTAGTGATGTTATCGTACATAGGGAATATAAGCGCATATTCTATGCATAGACTTAATTTATCATTTAGAAACTTATTTCTGTATTTGAGCACCCCCACCTAGTGAGTCACAGCTCCAAAATGAATTGAATTGTCCTCAAAATATAATAGGAACCAAAGTGCTCCTCATAGCTCAACATTTTCAAAAATATGCTTCATAAAATTTGTTGGGTTTACAGTACGTACAGCCACAAAAGAGTTGAATTTAATACAAATACAAAAGATCACTTTTTATCAATTTATTCAAGACTATAAATTTTATTTAATATTCCATTTCTTTAATTATGTTTGACATTAAAAATTATATCTGACAAAAGTCACCAAAGTGCTTTATTGTAAAAATTCTATTAAATTGCCTTTGAACTAAGATTTTGTGATAATTAAAATAAATAATAAGCTCATGAAATGGACAGCAATGAAAGTAAATGGAATTTTCTAGCAATAAGCATCAAAATTGTTTATTCTCATTCTCATTATCTTATTAGGTAGCCAAAATGTTTCTAAAGTTGGGCGTCAACCAAAACGGAAGTTGACTGATCCGACCACTGGAACCGGAAAAAAAGGAAGACCAGCTGCATCTGATTTATCAGTGGCAGTGAAACTTCCACAACATGGATATCCTCTTGATCATCCATACAATAAAGAAGGATATCGTTACATTCTTGCCGAGCCAGATCCACACGCTCCATTTAGACAGGAATATGATGAGTCACCAGATTGGGCTGGAAAACCGATTCCGGGATGGTTATATCGTGTGCTGACACCTAATTCTGTTCTTGTTGCTCTTCATGATCGTGCCCCTCAAATGCGAGTTTCTGAAGATCGTCTATCAATAACTGGCGACAAGGGCTACTGCACGACAAGATGTAGTCACTGTAAATTACTTTTTACTACGTATTAAGAATGATTTATAACACAAAAATATTTTCAGTTGTGTCTCGAGGCGCATACTATTGGGAAGCAACAATTGAAGACATGCCAGATGGATCTGCTACTCGAATTGGATGGGGTCAAGAATATGCAAATCTTCAATCGCCTCTTGGATATGACAAATTTGGTTATTCGTGGAGATCTCGTAAAGGAACAAAATTTCATGAATCACACGGCAGGGTAAATATTGATTTACTGATTATTTTGAACAGCACATTCTTAATATTATACTAATTTCAGCATTACAGTGAAGGATATGGAGAAGGTGATACTCTTGGCTTTCTAATTGATCTTCCTGAACAAGAAGGGATTCGTTATTTGCCTAATACATACAAGGATCGACCATTGGTTAAGTTTAAGAGCCATCTCTACTATGAAGATAAGGATAAAGTCAGCGATTCCTTGAAAAACTTAAAAATTCATCCAAAAAGTAAAATTTACTTCTTTAAAAATGGAAAATGTCAAGGAGTTGCTTTTGAGAATATTTACAGCGGCTCTTATTATCCATCTGTGTCACTTCACAAAAATTCAACAGTCAGCTTAAACTTTGGTGCTGAAGGTTTCAAATATCCTGAAATATTAAAAGAATACAATTGTAAAGCTGTAAGTATTTAACTTAATTCATTTTATTATGGATTTTAATGGATTAATAATTTGTTTAGATGCATGAGCGCGTTGAAGCTTTCATCTGCGAACAGACTATGGCTGATCTCTTCTTTTTCACTGAAAATGATGGCAAATTGAGGTTGTAATTTGTTAGGATTAAATGCTAATAAAATGATGTCATTAAAGAATGAAATTTTTGGTACCCATTTAAGTTCATATCTCACCTACATGTTAAATGACTTCAATCTAGTCCGAAAGACTAGACCATGTTTGATATCAAAGAAAACGCAGCATTAATGCCAACACAACTTCTGTAAACCCTCAAAAAAATTATGATATTCAATTTGAGTTTCCATAAAAAAATATACAAAATATAATAAACAAAGCCATCAAAAGAGAAACTCACTTAAGCTACCCGCATGACATGCATGACAAGAAGCTGTCCTAGTGTAAAAAGCATAATGAAATGAAATGAGATGATTTTATTTAGCGAAAAAGAAACTTTTTTGTTTAAACTCCCCCAACGTCATCCCCCCCCCCCCCCCCCCAACCATTCAATTTTCACTTTTCAGTACGTTTTCATGAATATTCTTATGTGTCGCGCTTCAGCACAAATAAGCAGCAACGGCAGCAATGAGAAAGTTTTAAACACATTTTTTTTAATAAAAAGAGAAGCGAGAAAATCTGATTGCGGAAATATTATTAAAAAGAGCAAATTTGATTGCGCATCACGCATTCCTCGTTTCGACATCGATTTAAATCCTCGATATGTCTGTATATTCCTATGTTTCGTTGTTTTATGCATTGCGCTACTTTCCTTTTATTGCGTGACTTTGATAAAACACTTTAGATATATTCCCATTTATCGAAATCGAATCACACACGAATGGGGAAGAATAAGCAAGCAAAAGGAGGAAGTAAAGTTTCTCTGACACCATTAAAATCACTTAAAAATAGATTGAATCACATTGAATATTGGTAAAGTTGAGGAATCTAACTTTGTTGATTGCCTTATTTTTTTTAGAGGAGGGTGAATTTTTGCGTTGTTTATTCTACACCTCAACCCGTACCTTTTATCCAGCTATTTCTCATTTGCAATTTGAGGTTCATTGCTTTTGTTTTACATCAATATTTTTGTGGATATACATCTTTATTGTTATTGCATCAGGAAAAACTTTATTATTGCTTTTGTTCACTTGACTCTTGCATGCAGTGCTGTAGGTTGTTCATATTACTTTTCAGACTTGGATACTCTTCATTGCTGTGCTGATATTGCATTTATTTGAGAATTGTGCCTCGTCTCTTTAGAGCTTTATTGTGAAAAGAAGTCTAATATTTAGGATAGGATGTGGACTGACTATACCTTTAAGCTTCTCACGACATAGTCTAGCGTATATCCTAACACTATTGTGAACTACCAATTTAAATAATCCATCCTCAACTCTCATCACAAAGATCAGCAATTTCAAGCACCATCCATATCCACTCAGCGTCTCACCCTACATCCAAAAAAATATTATTTTTAAACAAAAAACGAAAAAACATAAAAAAGACGAGATATGAATGAAGGAAAAATGGATTGAATGAAGCAAATGGAGTGTCTATTGAGTGCATGTGAGAATGAGAGTTGAAAATGTTCGTGACCTGCAAGTTAAGTGCCATAAATTTTCCTCTATTTTTCCGCTATACACACACAAAAATCTCACATAAAAAAGAATTATGTCGTTTACCGCATTCATTCATATTATCATTACTTATTTTTTTGGAAACTTTATTTAAGCGTATGGATGGAAAGTTTTCACAGATGTGGATTAAAGTAACATTATTGGAGATTATGTTGTGTGATGAATCTTCAGACTAAATTGGGATTGATGGGACATGTTGGATGTAAAAATGGAACAGCCTCAATTATCCTAGTTTCTATATCTGATTGTATCTTATGTAAATAACTCAGTGTGAATCCTGGTTTTGAAATTTTAAAAATCACTTGACATAGCTAAGAGGGTATTGTCCCCCTTTTAAGCGCTTTAGGCCGTGCTCTCGCTGCGGTTCAAAACGTTTAAGGGGGGGGGGGCAAGACTCTTCTGGCTACGTGCCTGACACTTGTCTATAATATCCTAGTCTAGTCCCTTCCCCTTCAACTGCTTATTCTCAGCATAAAACATGAATTCAGATCAACAATTTTGAGATATATCGAAACTACATCTCAAAACAAATGGATGTTGTTCCATTCTGTCTGACCTACTTGTCAATAATCAAAGTCATCTACAATAAATAAAATTCATCAATTCCTCAACTCATAACATCTCAATTCATTTCATTTCAACATCATCGACTCCACTTACAGTCCAACAACCCTGAATTTGAAAAAAGGGAGAACAAGAAACTTTTTTTTTTAATGGAACTGCTGTTTTCCGATTGATCAAACATCCGTTTCTCGTTTTGCCTTTGACTTTCAATTAAAGATCTTAATCAATTATTCAATCAATGCCTCTTAAACACAACACAAAAATTTGTACGACGCTATGCGAGTGAGGCAGAGAGATGAAGAGATTGAAATGGAATGGGAAATTAATTCAGTCGTTTAAACATTTCAAAATTGAAATGTTGTAACAAGAAAAATGTGAAAAGTTGAATAAAAAGGAGGAAGTAAGGCGGGGGTGGAATATTCATGCTGGCGCAAATGGGAAGAACAAATAGACAGAAAATTAAGGAATGACAAAAGCGAATTTATTTTCACTTCAATCTTCTTATTCCTCCTTTTTTTGTTCGTCTATATCTCTTTATATCCTTTGTGACGCTTCAGCGGGTGAAAATTAAAAATTGAAATAAACGATGCGTATATTATGTTTATTTTTCGAGTCATTCCTTCGAGTCTTTCCGCATTTTAAAAACTTTCTTTCCTTTTTCTATTTCATTATATCCTATTTGTCGTCTATTCTTGTGCTTGTAGCTGGTAATTTTGGACAAATGACGACAGTTTGATCGGGATGTTGACTTGGGTCATGATTTGACTGTCTTTCTAGTGATTTTAACCGTACAAGCAATGTGTTGGATCTTGGGTATCGAGCTATATGTTAAAAGAGATCTTGACTTGCTGATCTAAAACTTTAAATTATTCAGCAAATCTGAATCTATGAGTCCATGATTAGGTTCTAATGACTTGATTTGGACTTCTGTCCGAAGCTGATTTCTATGAACCTTTAAAACAAACTGCAATATTTCCCAAAAATGCTTCTGATCACAAAACATTCCCATAAAAGTCATCCAAACTTCCCTTCATTAACTTGAATATCTTCAACATTTTGACATTCCTTCCTTCAATTCATTTATTAAATTAAAGATCCCAAAAGGAATTTTATAGACGAAGAAAAATTTCCACAACCGCTCCAATTGTTTTACAGCATTAGTTTATTTTCCTTGGTTTTAAATTATCCAGACGCACATCAAGTCACACTTTATGTACACAATCGGGAGAGAAATACGTCAATTTTATTTCGATGGTTGGATTTAAAATTTAAGCTTCTTTCCTTACCATATAGATAAGAAATAGAAGAACTTCCAATTCCCCATAAATTTCAATTCACTTTCTTTCTCACTTGCCACATAAAGATTCATTTGCATGTCTTATGTCTTTTGAAACTGTATATTTTCCTACATAAAATAATTACGCTCTTAATATTCATGCTATATAGCTATGGCAAGAATGGAGTGAGACAAGACTTGACGAAGTTGATGCCATATTTATGTAAATTAGTCGAATGATGGAGAAGATATACAGCATTGAGTACACATAATTAAATGATGCGAAAATCGAGAGACACTTTATACAGCCACATCAATCGCGCACCCACAAGATACTTTTTAGCTCATTTGAAGTGGCATGGAAATGAGAGACTTGATGTCGATGTTTTTCACTCATCATAACATGAATTCAGTGTTGCTTTAGGGTTTTATTCTACTTCCATTAATTTCATAACCTGCAAAATATTTTCTGATTTCCATTGAAAATAAGCTAATATTGCTTACGTACCCCTTCTTCATCCCTAATGGTCGTTAAGAAAACGTGACTAAAATACCTTAATGCCTCATCTAGCTACTTCTTCATATTCCATACCCCTCGTCATCTTAAAATGTAAAATATTCGCATACATCTTCATCATCCACTTGCTCATGTATATCATAAAGTGTTATGATAATTGAAGTTAATTATTAGTCTGTATAATTATGAAATTCAATTTCGAGTTGAGAGCATACTTAAAATTCATAAGTGGTTGCTCAACAGTTTTTGCTCCTCATTCATAAACATGCAAAGTATTTTGATAATTATGCATACATGTTTATGCTTCTGTGAACTTTTGGAGCTACCTATTTGATCTATTTTTAACTTTCTTGCTCATTTGGTGCTATTACTATTATGAAGTAACGGGAAGTGACATAACGTCTATTAAAATAGCTAGAAGCAAGAAGCAAACTTCTAGATGACAAAACCAGAGAAAAAAGTTTAACTCTGAATAACGGATCCCAAACGGGACTCGAACCCACGTCCTACGAATTCAGGTTTCATGCTCCTATCACTGAGCTATTGGGGGTTAGAATACTATATTGCTAAATCCCATATATAAGTTACATTATTTTATTGTTCCCTTGCACCACATGATTCATCGTTGACTGGCTATTACATGGAATCGCATATTCGAACAAAGTCTCAATTAGAGATGGTAAAATATCTAGGAAATTTATTTATATCCATTGAATTTTTGTAGCTCACACACTTGGCTTTGTTTAAAATAATAAATAACTTAGCTATCCACAGGCGCCCGTGGCGCCTCTTATCAGGGTTAAAATTTGATTACTATTATGTAAATAACTGTAAGACGGAAATAACCATGATGTTTTTAAGGTCAATCCTACCACAAAACTTCACAAGGCCTCACAACCCTCCTCAAACTCGGACCCCCTTAATCCCTCAAAAATTTTATAAATGGCTTCACAAACCCCCTCAAACTCGGACCCCCTTGATCCCACTAAAACTTTAATTCCCCCTAAACCCACCATGTCTTTTCACAAAGCTTCGCATGGCTTCACAAAACTTCACATGGCTTCACAAAATTTTATATGGCTTCACAAAATATTCCTGACTCCTCAAATGATTGGCTTCACACGGCTTCATAAAATATATCTGACACCCACCTTGCCCCCCCCCCCCTCTTCCAACTGACACCCACCTTGTCAGCACCCCTCGAATCATTGGCTTCACAAAATAAACCTGACACCCCCCTTGCCCCCATCCCCTTGTCAACACTCCTTAAATTTTTGTCTTCACATGGCTTCACAAATGTCTTCACATGGCTTCCGTTCCAGAGTCAGTGAATCAGTGAATTGGGCTTTTATATATTAGATGCACTCAAAAACCTAGATTAACACATTTATTTATGTCTCAAACCAAACAATCAAATTAAATTAGTGGAAAAATGATTGAGATTTGACTTTCTCAAGAAATAATTAAGATAATTTTGAATGCTTTAATGAGTGCATGAGACGAAGTTTTAATTTCTTAAAATTTAAGATTAAATCTGCAAAATATTGCGAATTTTTCAGTGGAAAAGACCTTCTTATCATTGTTTATGTCGCGATTTTAATTTCTTTTGATAAAAAGCTACTTGAACTTCATTAAATAATTCACACTCAATACCTCTTGATTAATGTGCTCAATTTCATCGATAAACTGATTAAGAATTTCGTATAAATTGGCAAGGAATCTCCAGAAAAATTATATTCAATTCTCAAAAAATGTTTCGATCACTTCTTGTGCTATTTTTTGCTATTGCTGCCTGCAGTGCTGCTCGTAAGTATTGATCAAATAGACAGTTGAAAGAAAGTAGAATGAAGTCTGTATTTAATTAAGCCGATCGAGAAAGCCGCATTCTTGGTGGTAGAACAGCATTCCTTGGTGAAGTTCCTTACCAGGCATCACTCCGTTATTGGGGCACAACCTTTCATTTTGGAGGTGGTGTATTGATTAATACTCGATATGTTGTTACTGGAGCTTACCATTTGCGAGGACGTGCTGCTAATTCAATTAATATTGTGCTCGGAATTGTCAGCCTTGACACAGGAGTTGTAAACAGACAGAGTGACTACATTGTGATTCATGATCAGTTTGCTATAGAAGGAAATACTATTAGAAATGAGTGAGTAACTACAATAGCAAGATGGTCAGTTAAATTACAATTTTTTCTCAATTTACAGCATTGCAATGGTTCGTGCAGCAGTTGCTATTGCCTTCTCAACAACAGTTTCACCAATTCCATTGTCATCAACATTCATTAGAGACGGTATGAATGCACAAATTTCTGGATGGGGAGCAACTGAAAAAGATAAAGGTCCGGATTCCAATAATTTAAAGATTGGAAACGTAGTCACAGGTCCATGTAAGGATACAGAATTCATGACTTTCACACCTCAGCATCTGTGCGCTGGTTCAGCAACAACATCTCCAGTTGGTATTTGTACAACTGATGTAGGAGGTCCTCTTGTCCTTTATGGACAGTTGATAGGAATCGGTGTTCATTTTTATTATAATGGATGCGGGATGTACTTTGTAAGAAGATTATTGCTGTAAATTTGTTTGGAAAAATTATTTTGTTTTTCATTTGCAGGATGGATACAGTCGAATTTCAACTTACTACTTGTGGATTAATCAATATTTTTAACAACAATATTTATGTTAAAGAATGAAATAAAGCTTTACTTGTCAAACGAAAAGAAAAAACTTTCTGTCTTGAATTAATCATTTTGAGTAAATTCTAGCAAGATTAACATAAACAATGAATAAATTGGATCTCATGAGTTCTCTCTGATCAGTTCAAATTAGTTCTTAAAAAAATAGAATAGTAAAGCCCAAAGTATAATTAAGTTTGATTTTATTACTTAACTTTGTTAAGTTTGTTCATTAGATTAGAAATATTTTATATTTCAGATATTAAAAACTTATAAGCCATTATATGAAAATTAATTATAAATGAAAAATGCACGTGTCAGCTCAAAAATACAGAATGCAACATTTTTGTTAAATATTCGGACACTTTTAAAACTCAAAATACTTTCTTGGCTGGGGCGCACGTGGGCCTATGCCGCGCTTAACAATCGTCTGAAGACAGCTCTATCCTTAGAAACATTCTGCCAATTTGAGATATTAAAGACTCTAGCGTCCTTTTCAACACATCTAATCCACGAGTTTTTTGGTCTTGCCATCCATAAAATCTGCTACTGTCACTTTCAATACTGGGGCATCTTGTGAGCGTCTGAACACATGTCCAGCCCATCTAAATCGATTTGCACTGAGAACTGTAAATGAAATAAATGATATAGCTTAACATTATGTCGACTTTGATTCTCTTCTCCTTCCTTCACAGGACGTCTTTCGAAGACACCAAGTGCTTCCTCATCCGCTTGTGTTGAATTCCAGGTTTCCGAGCCATACAAGGAACCAATAGATTGCAAAAAAAGAAAAGAAGTTTTAAGACAAAAACGCAGCAGTTTAAGTCTTCTTTGTGTATTAATCTCCTAAATCTACATCTAGATTCATAGGTTTTCTTGTGAATTTCATGACATCAAAGATTTATTAATTAATTATTGAGGAATACAAAATGCACATAACATCTAAGATAAATCCACTCCTTTGTATGTCAAAACAAACAAATTAATTAATTTCATTAGAAAAATGATTGAGATTTGACTTTCCGAAGAAATAATTAAGATAACTTTAAATACATTAATGCAGTATCGAGTGCATGAGACGAAGTTTCAATTTCTGAAAATTGAAGATTAAATTTGAAGATATTCCGAAAATTTCAGTGGAAAAGACCTTCTTATCATTGTTTATGTCGCATTTCTTTTTTAAAAGGTCTACTTAAGTTTACTGATTCAATACCTCCTGATTAACGTGCTTAATTTCATTGATAAGATGATAAAAATTTAGTATAAATTGGCAAGGAATTGCAAGAAAAATTATATTCAAGCTTTAAAAAATGTTTCGATCACTTCTTGTGCTGATTTTAGCTATTGCTGCCTGCAGTGCTGCTCGTAAGTATTAAATCAATCTTTAAATTTTAATTTAAACTACAATGTGTTGAATGCATCATCCAGCAAATCGAGAAAGCCGCATTCTTGGAGGAAGAAATGCATTCCTTGGTGAAGTTCCATACCAGGCATCACTTCGTTATTGGGGTTCAACTTTCCATTTTGCTGGTGGTGTATTGATTAATACTCGATATGTTGTTACTGGAGCCTTTAACTTGCGAGGACGTGCTTACAACTCTATTAATATTGTACTTGGAATTACCAGCCTCGATACAGGAGTTGTGAATAGACAAAGTGATTACATTGTGATTCATGATCAGTTTGCTATAGAAGGAAATATTGTCAAAAATGAGTAAGTATGCAAATAACAAAATGTAGAACAAAATATTAAAGTTAATTTTACAGCATTGCATTGGTTCGTGCTTTAACAGCTATAACATTATCAACAACGATCAATGTGATTCCATTGTCATCATCATTCGTTAGAGATGGTATGAATGCTCAAATCTCTGGATGGGGAGCAACTGACAAAGATAAAGGTCCCGATTCCAACAATCTGAAAATTGCCAATGTAGTCACAGGTCCATGTAAAGATACAGAATTCATGACTTTTACACCTCAACATATCTGTGCTGGTTCAGCATCAAACACAACTGTAGTCGGTATTTGTACAACAGATATTGGAGGTCCACTTTCACTTTATGGGCAATTGATTGGCATTGCTAATCATCATTATTACTATGGATGTGGAATGACTTTTGTAAGAAGAATATTTGATTGATTTTTTTGACTATATATATGAAATATTTTTAATTGCAGGATGGATTTGCTCGAATTTCAAGCTACTTTGTATGGATCAATCAATATATGTAATTTTAGAAATTAAAATATCCAAAACAATGTCTTCCTTAATCAATAAGTTTATTGAATAATTGAGAGTAGAATAAAAAATAATTCTTATCAGAGAAATCCAATTGACTTAATGCTTCCTTCCAATTTTATATTCAGCTTCAATAATAGAGGTTCATCATAAAATGAACCTTTTAAATTTCAGATTCAAAAAGTTATTATTTCATAAATAATTCCTCACATATGCCAATAAGTACGATCCATTACTATCATAAGTGTATACCGAACTTGACTTCATCAGAATTCCATTAAATATTTATAGATGATATAGAAAAATCATTCAAATTTTATAGCATGAGCATCAACATGTGTGTGTTTGTAGATGAAAATAACGAAGCATCAAATTGAAAGTCTCTTGAGGATGGTGAAAACTTTAAAAAGCTTTTATGAGTTGTTCTATCGAATTTATAATCCTCATTCAAGGATTTTGAGTATTTCAGTAAGAAGATTAATTGCTTAACAGAATTTAATGCGCTTTGGAGATGGGTATTATGTGTGCCTTTCTAGTACTTACTTTGCTGGTCGTACAGATCAATTGTAATCCATGACCTCCTTTAGTTGACGCTTAAAACTAGCTCAAATGCTGGCTACCGTCTGCCAATTTCCAATACCAAGTGCTTTACTGTCTCTATCAATAGCTTCCTTCCACGAGTTCTTTTGCCACCCACGTGGTCTCTTGCCATCTACGAAGTCAGATTTAAAGACCTAATTTAATGGAACTTCCACAGGTCTCCTTATAATATGTCCAGCTTATCAGAACCTGCTATTAAAGTAGATTATTAAGTAGTCCCTGAATTTTAATTTGATATTATTTAAGTCTGGAACACACCATGAGACTTGAAAGTGACAATTCTCGTTTTAAAATCAATCAAACTTCGTAGTCATCAGTAATCATCTTTCAATTAAAAACATCCAGTGATTCAGAGATCCAGTTCATCAATTTATAGTTAAAAAGTATCAAACAGACATAATGTAAGCTCATATTTCAGCCATACACAGCTAGTAAAGAAATATTGATACTTTGGAAAGTACAAAGTAAACAAATAAAAAGTTTCAATATATATTTAAGTATGTTCTCAATATCATCTATCCCATATGTTTGAATAAACAATACCATGAATGATGGAAGAATAAAAAGCATCAAAATTGTGTGAATATGAAACATTTTTTCTGTTGCTGCTTTGTTTAAACAACAAACGGTAAATGTTCTGTATCTGATTCCATTTTATTTTCTATTTCCATCACGAGGAAAAAAACAAGGGTCAGACACTCCAACAGAATTTTAAGGATTGTACAATCCTTACAATCCTTCCATACGAATTGTGAGGATTGTACAATCCTTACAATCCCTACAATCCTTTTCATATAAGGATTGTAAGGATTGTACAATTCCTACAATCTTTCTATGTGAGGATCCTTCCATACGAATTGTGAGGATTGTACAATCCCTACAATCCTTTTCATATAAGGATTGTAAGGATTGTACAATTCCTACAATCTTTCTATGTGATTGTACAATCCTTACTAAACAAAAAACAATGTCCATTTATTTTTAAAAAATAAGATAAAATACAAAAAATGAAGACAGTCAGAAATTTCTTTGAAAACAATTATATTTAAAATGCAATAATTTACCGTGAATCAATTCGAATGATTTTTTATACATTTCAACTCATTAAAAAGTTGTAAAAAGTATAATTTTTACACCGGTGAACAGGGTGAGTGATTTAAATCAAAAATCAAAATCTTTTTGCAATGATTTTTAAAAGAAATTTTGATTTAAATCATTTTTGTATGGGGATTTTTTTTTTTGGGATTTTGATTTAAATCTCTTGTATGAACGATTTTATTGGGATTTTAAAATCCCTCGATGTAAAATTTTTGTATTCAATTTTTCAAATTATTTTTCAAATCAACAGTTTTCAGTTGCAGTTCCTAAAGTAAGAATGCAGTTGATCATTTTTTGGCCAGAATCTTGCAACTGGATCTTTTAGATCCAAGCAGTTCTTAAAGAAAGGTTACAGCAACCAATGGTTCCATGCTGTTTGACTGAAACGAAATCCAATTCGTGATTTTTTATCTTCTGTGACTTGATGTACGAAAGGAACCGGCCATTTCCGCAAAAAAATTTTGATTTCAAGAGGTGAATCCTTGATGAAAATTCAACAAAAAAAAATTTTTTTGTGGATGTAAAGGAACTAGGCAGTTCAAGTGCCTATTCTTGCTTATGACTCATTAAACTAATGTGGTGTAATAAAATATATTTAAGTTTTTTAAAGGATTTAAAGCATGTAAATCCTCATATAAAGGAAGATCCAGGCATGCTTGATGAAGTCCAGTTGTTTATATGCAAGCAGCAAGGCACAGAAGATAAAAAATCACAAATTGGATTTCGTTTAAGTCAAACAGCATGGAACCATTGCTGTAACCATTAATTAAGAAATATTTGGATCTAAAAGATCCAGTTGCAAGATTCAGGCCAAAAAAGGATCAACTGCATTCTTACTTATTACGAACTGCAACTGAAAACTGTTGATTTGAAAAATAATTTGAAAAATTGAAAACAAAAATCTTACATGGAGGGATTTTAAAATCCCAATAAAATCTTTCATACAAGAGATTTAAATCAACCTTTAAAATCATTGCAAAAAGATTTTGATTTTGATTTTTGATTTAAATCACCCTGGTTTAGGGCGTCCAACCATCTGCGTAGTTTTACAACGGACAGAATTGATATATCAAGTTTATTTCGTTCTTTAAATTCAAACAAATAAATTTTTAATATTAAATTAATATTTCTTCTCTAATAACCAATGAAAAACATTTTTAAATGTTCCATACATTTATTTCATCCTTACAATCTTTATATGGAAAGGATTGTAAGAATTACAATCTTTACAATCCTTTCCATATAAGGATTGTACGGATTACAATCCCTACAATCCTTCTCATATAAAGATTGTAAGGATTGTAAGGATTGTAAGGATTGTACAATCTTTACAATTCTTCCATATGGATTGTGAAGAATTGTACAATCTTTACAATTCTGTTGGAGTGTCTGACCCTTGGAAAAAAATGAAACTTTTTTGCAAAAAGAAAGAAACGGAAAGATTTTAGCTGCATTGTCAGAGGGATTTTTTTTTTTTTTTGAAACAACAAGAACAGAAATCGAGAGAAGTTTACTTTCAAAAGATAAATAAGACACCAGGCATATCTCGTCCCCCAAATTTTCTGCTTTGCTTACTTTTCTCTTTCCATCCACTCTCGATTTTCTTTTTGCTATCTTTTCTTTTCTCAAACATGAAATATTCATCATATTTTAACAACATCCACGTTTTGGTATTTATTTTAGGTGTTTGATTGAAGCGCATTTTGGTAAAGTTTGATTCCAAAAATTCTTTGAATTTCTAATTTTTGGTAGCTAAGCCAATCAAAATTAACTTGTTTCTGTTGAGCTAGAGATTAAGTTAAGGTTTTAAAGTCTGATTTTAATGGCAATAGATCGTGTGATCGATAGAAGAACTCATAAAAGCCCAATGGGTGCCTAGAACAATGTAGACCGTTATTTTTTCTAAAATTCAAACCTGTTTCGAAAAAATTCGAAAAATAATTTTTTATAAAAAATTTTGAAATTTTAAAGACCGTTAAACTTTTTATGAACAAAAATCAATTCTTCGACGCAAATTTGTTTTTTGAATGTAACAATCGACAATGAAGCTCAAGTTTTGATCGAAAAGTTACAAAAAATAATATTAAATTTTCAATAGTCTTTGAACAATGCTCAAATGGAATTTCAACCTGACTAAGAACAATATCTGAAAATTTTGTCTTGAATGTGTTACAATCACTTACAGCAGAAATCTCACTTCGGTCGACACTTATGTTGTTCGATTTTAAAAATAACAACCATCTATCTTTGTTTAATGAGTGCTTAGGTACTTTAAAAAGATTTGTAATTGTTTTATTTTTGTTGCAGCTTGCAATCTTGCAGGTTTTACCCATAATTAATGAAAATTAATCAAAATTTTACTGATGTAAACAAATATAATTTTTTGAGGAAATATTTTTAACGGAATTTCATTTTTTGAAAAAAATTCAAATTCGAATTTTCGATTTCGAAGAATAAGGACCATTTTCGAAGAATAAGAACCATCGGCACCCATTGGATAAAAGCTATAGCTTTCAATCTTAGAAAAGCTATCAAAATAAGTTTACCCAAACTTCATAAATCAAACATCAAGCTTAGACAAAACTGCTAAAAATATACGTCATTCGCGTGTGGCTTTACTTAGCTTACCCTCGACTTACTTTCATTGTTTCTGTTTGCTTGTCGAAAGAACAAAAATTGAATCTTTTTTTTTTCGAAAATTTCAATGTTATACTTGTTGAACGCTGATGGCAATCTTACAGAAAAATATGTAAACGTCGTAGTTGTATGAGGATGTAGGATTGAAGCGAAAGAAGAGGGGAGTTACATCGAATGAAGGTCTCATGAATATATGAATGTGAAGATACGCCGATGAAGGTAGGTTAGGTGGATTGAGAAAGAAACAAGAAGCAAGTCGTGTGCCATGTAATGCTGCAATATGAAAATGTTTACAGATACTGCACATGGCAAAAGGAAGGAAAAAAATATGTCTAATGAATTTTCAGAAATTGTCTAATTAGAGTTCTTTATACATTCTTGAAGACTGTACCTTCATTATGAGGAAATGAGAGTCGGAACTGGATAAATTTGTCAGAATGTCATGTAAATTTAGAAATGTCATTCTAAATTAAGTTTGGAGAGTCCAGAATCACTTCCTTAATACAATAGTGAAGCTAGATGCTGCTCGAAATCAAAATAACCAGCTAAAAGCCAACGAATGTCTTCAAATGCGTCTCAAGCATGCAAACACAGTAGCATCAATAAATTGTCTCAAAATATACACAAGCTGGGTACATAAGACGTAACAGACATCAGTAATGAAATGTAAAGAGAAGCACCTACCACACTCAGCTAAGGGTGAAATGTAAAGTATATAAAATCTTTGACAAAATCTCATTAAATATTTAATAG